AAATAATATTTCTGTTTGTTCATTCGTGTTATAAAATGAATGAACATTTTTGAGTATTTGAGAAAAATCCCCAAAAGCTTAGAACATTGTAAGAACACTCACAAAAGTTGCCATTATGAACACAAATGAAGAAAGCTTAAATGGAAAAAAACAAAATTTCAGAGTATAAAGAAACCAATATGTCAGAATAATGTATGAAGTTTCAATTAAAAAAATCCTTTTTTTTTTTAAGCATCCTTCTGGGAGTTGGCTATTCTTTAGGGACCATACTTATTGATTTTTTTTTTTTTAAAAAGAAACTTATAGACAATTATTATGTTGTTAATGCTTTCTTTATACTCTGAAATTTTGTTTTTTTCCATTTAAGCTTTCTTCATTTGTGTTCATAATGGCAACTTTTGTGAGTGTTCTTACAATGTTCTAAGCTTTTGGGGATTTTTCTCAAATACTCAAAAATGTTCATTCATTTTATAACATGAATGAACGAACAGAAATATTATTTTTGTGGCCTTTGGAGGCCCTTTGACCAAAACTAATAAAAACTAAGAGTTCTGCCATTTTGAGGTAGAAAAAGATTTAGTGGATGCGCCACAGTAGGCATAAAAAGCCCAGCTGGGGGGAACTCCCTCCCCAGTCTCTCTGTCTGATGTAGCCCCATTAACTTTGCAACTTCCGAACTCCTAAAAAGCTTAGGCGTTACTGTTGGCTATTAAGAAGTCGATTACCCTCTGGTTAATATAAATGATAATTCTTTTTCCAAAGTTTATAATAACTATTTTGGGCAGATTCTATACACGACATATTCTCTAATTAATTGTATGTGGGTATTCCATGCAACTTCCTTGCGATGCAGCTGCGTCCATCACTAAATTGCCCTCCTACTTCACAGGATTGTTTCAGAGTGAGAAGATGATAAGTTTCTACTATAGATTTAGAATTTGGAACATGTGTGTGTGCGGACATACGTGTATGCTTGCTTGTATAGTGAATGAAAACTGCAATTATCTGTTCTGAATAAAGCACGTCCATTCATTTTTCAGGCAGCTTGTAAAATATATTTAAAAACCTCCTCCTATAGATTAATATTCTGTTCAAGTCTAACAGTTTTAATAAATTTCATTCATGCTCATTGGCTTTAAAATAAGTGGAAAAATAATTGAAGCTGTAATAGAATGTTGATCAATTTATACTAACAGAAAGTAACAGCAATATGGAGAGAAATGCAGATGGAACTCCTATTGAAAGTACTGAGACAATTATATTTGACTTTGTTTAATTGCCTATAAAATTGGGACTTTAAAGTCAATCTAGTTGGAATTTAGAAAATTGAGTATCTTGGAAGAGTAAAAATTACAGTGTCCGATAGATGGAAGACATCAATAAAATAAGCCAAAAATAGTTTTTTTCATTTTCAATTTCAAATCGGTAGAAATGGACACAGCAGAACTAAATAAATGAATAATAAAACAAGTTAGATGGATGGACAAATTAAGTAATTTTTACATTTAAAATATTTAATTTGTTGTAATATATATATCAACATTTAATTGTTACATTTTCATTTATTGTGCAAATAAATAATTGCTTTACCTGCTTGGTCTTTAAGTATTTTTGATATAACAACAGGCACTTTGTGCTCGGCACCACCCTGAAAGAGATGATAAAAATAAAATGTCTTGTATGCACTATATGTTATAAAACAACATAATTATAAAATTATACATACCTTTATACTTAAGCCCAAGCCACCAACTGGTTGTCTATGAAGTGTAACGGTTCTGTGCTTTAAAAAATGGTAGAAAAAATAAATTTAGGTGAAAATACAATATTAAATGTAAGCTTAAGAAGTTTATTAATATACTTTTGTTTATGCAAATACTTGATCTAAAAAGTCAAAAGGAGAAAAATATGGCATTTAATCAATGCTAGTCTCAGTACACTCAAAACGTTTTTAGGGTTATTGATTGATCAAAGGTTATATAGTGTGGGGGTTTGCAAGCTCGATTAGAGATTCTAACTTGAGCAGGGTTGCTGTAAAGCTGGACTTTGGGTATGTTACATATTACCAAAGCACCCAAAACTGGTGCAGGTATGATTATGGTCAATAATCCAATCTATTCTTCCAATATCTTACCAAAGAAAAAAGTATGTGAAACCCTCTGTTGACCAAAAACATGAATTTGTTTGGTAACAATCATAGCTTATTGTTCAAAAATTGATTTTTTATTTTATTGTACTTAATATTGTAGTGTAATCTTTATGCAGTGGTGTGAGCCAATTGTTAAATTTTGGGGAATTCTGCAAACCAATTGATGATAGATCTATTTCAAGCTATTTAGCTCTCATCAGCTAGCCATACCCTTACTGGGATTTGAACACAAATATAACAAAGGCAACAGTAAAAATATTGGGTTTCTGTCGTGATGGTCTCTTGTGACGAGCCAATGGACAGAGAATGGAAGCAGTTAGCTTCCTCCCATAATTGGGGCATACCAGGAGTTGTATAGTGTCACAACCCCTGGTATGCCCCAATTATGGGAGGAAGCTAACTGCTTCCATTCTCTGTCCATCGGCTCGTCACAAGAGACCATCCAGACAGAAAGCCCAATATTTTACTGTTGCCTTTTTATACAACATACATACATACATACATACATATGCACAAATATAACACACACACACACACACACACACACACATATATGAAATGAATAAATGGTGGAAGGAAGTAACAGATCTGAATGAAAGGGATCTGATTTTGCAGAATGGAGTTAAAAAATAAAGGCAAAAAAGCGAAACGGTGGAAGCAAATTGTCAGAGAGAAAAATTAAAGGATTCGACGGAAAGTGTCCTTATGAAAGCTTATGAATTCGTGTATTTGTGAGAGTTTTCTATTATGCTCCAGTAAATGGCAAAAATGAAAGAATCAGGGATGGGGTTTTTGTGAAAAGAAGAAAAGGAACAGGTGGCTTGAATAGATGGGAAATGAAAGGGGTGGGGTGGACAAGACAAGAGAGCAAGGACAAAGATATCTGGCCATTCAGAAACCGAAAAATGAAAGGGAATGTTGACTTTCAGTAATTATCTGCTTAGAAATATGTGTTTAAACATGAAATGTCTCTATGGATATGGATGGAGAAGGAAAGCACAGGAAAGCATAGCCAATTTTATTGCTTATAATGAAAAACTGAGGAAAACTAGTGAAATTAATATTGTCCAAACATGAACGTTCCCTTCTTGGGTTTCTACCAGTGTTGAAAATCCCAAGACTCGGCTGTTTGCACTAACTCTACAACTTGAAAAATTATCCTTTCTCTTGCTGGATGTTTACTAGCAACCAGTATTACCTGTGACCCTCAAATTGTCCCCCTTCTCTCTAAAGCCAGGAAGTTATTCTTGATGCACTCCCCCCCTTCCAGCTTCCTTGCTCAAAAGGAATGTGGCTGTGTCATCTGGCCACCTTTCTTTCAACCGCTGCTGCTGCTGCTGCCAAGCCTCCCAGCAAATCTGTTCTCCTCCATAATTGGATTGTGGATGAAAGGGCAGACCTGATTTGCATCCCCAAATCAGAGTGGGCAAAGAGGGGAAGCCACTGTGATTGGTTCACTTGGGATCCTCAAAGAGATTTCAAGACAAAAAGGCAGTGTTTGAATTGATGCACAATTGGTGGAATCAAGAATAGTTTCTAAGGACAGGAAAGTATGGAGAAGTACAGTGAATAATGGTAGAAATTAATTTTACTTTCCCCCCCTTTCTGATGCTATTATTCTTTATTTTTTGCGTATTATTTCTCACTTATTTGCATTTGTGTCATGTTTCTCCAAAAAAAAAAAGCTATTCTAGCTATGTGTAGGTGCTAAAGGGAAAGAATTATATTCTATGTTCAGTGCTTGAACTATAGAATGTTTTATAAGAGAAAACGCTGTTCAAGTACTTGTCTACTGAAGCTTTTTTGAAGCTCCGTTGAGAGTTCAAACCGTTTCTCTATTCACAAAGTTGAATGGGAGCTTAATATATCATTCAGAAACATTAAATATGATATGCCAAGCACATGTCTCATTAAAAAAAGAGCTGTGATACAAATACTATAGTAACACAGATGCATGAATTTGATTAATACATTTTTTCTTAAATATTTTTCTTGGCCTTTAAACTGTTGCAAAATTAAAAATGCAGATATTGTTTTCAACGAAAACTCCTACTTGATTCTTTCTGCTTGCAATCTTTTACACATCGGATTTAATTTTTTAGTCCAGATCAATCTTCTACCACTTCCAGTTGATTATTCTCCCTGTGAACTGGTGTTCCTTTCATTTAACCCATTCCTTATGGCTAATTTCTTAGTATTTTTTGAAGAAAGTACATGTGATAAAAATCTTTATAAACTGTTCGCATGCAATCTAGTTCATATCTAATAGCACCTCGCATTTTTGACACTTTGACATTCTTGCTCTGAAATTTTCTTGAAATTTGATATAATAATAGAAGATGAAATGACTCATTTTATTAATTGACATTAAATATCATATAACTTAGCAACACGCGGAGTCCAGTTCTGCCCGCAATGCCATTTCTCATCACTAAGAACAGACACTGTTGGATAGATCAAGATGGTTTTTCATACTGTATGTGAGAACTTTCTTAGAAGTTCCCCAAGGATGAAAGTTTGGGCGATTAAATCTCTTGCCCCAGTGACTGATACAGGTTGGATCCTGCAACATTATCTTAGGGGACTATATTTGTTTTTAACACTGTCCTTATTGTATTTATTTGTGCTTTTTAGAAGTTTGTTTCCAAGGAACTTCCATAAGTCTAGCTAATTATATAGATACTTGTGCCAAGTTTAATACACTTCATACAATGTTATATAGGTGAAGTTGCATTCATATAACTAGACAAGCCATTGGGCTCTTCCCTTCTGCGTGTCCTCAAATGGGTAGAATTGATTTATTGGATGTGATGGCTACAAAGGGCAATAGGCAGAAACTTTGAACACTGAAACAACATTGGAACCCATCTCATATGGAAAGCAATTGAAAAGATTCCGTTTAGAAAAAAATGCTTTCAATTTTAAATAACATTTTGATTTTGTATTGACAAAGCAAGGACCACTTTGCATAATCAGTTCCATAGCCTGTATTCACTTATAAAACAGGAAACATATGGATGTAATTATGTTCTCTGGGATCATAGTCAACCTCTCTTCCAACATCAGGCTCCTATGAAATCAGGGAATTTTAAAGCAAAAACCTCTATAAATCTCTTGTATATACAAACATTTGGAGACTGCGTCTTGCCGTCACAGAGTGACTCTCAACAATCGACAATTAAAACATTTTAAATAATTTTGTTGTAGATTTAGAGCAAGCCAATTGTTCCATTTTTTACAATGAATAATGATTTTTGTAATTAAGGAAACATTTTTGAATGCCGTTAAATACTTTATTTTTCAGTTTGCGTGTTTTTTTAGATTGGTGTTTCCTAAAAAACTTTTCATCTCAGAACACCCTCCCCACTTTTAAGAATTACGGACGACCCCACAAANGAAAGGGCAGCAGAAGATTATTATTTCAGTGAAGTCAAGTCCATAGTTCAAACTATTATCTGTAAGTCTGTCTAAACCACTTTGTTTAGCAAATCTATCCTCAATCATTCATTTGGACATTCTATCTGTTGCGGATTTTTTTTTCCCGCTGCTAAAGCTGTCCTTTCTTCTTTTTGTTTTGGAACAACAGAAATATACAACACAAGCAAAGGACTTTCATTACATCTGTCTCTCTGGCTATTACTAACCATTTCACCTCACAAGAAATGATTTATTTTTGGACCATTTGATACTAACTAAAAGACTGAAGTTCCAAAATGAGATACATACCGTATTTGTCAGATTCTGAGTCCCTGGCCTCCGTTACATTTATCTGACTAAGATCTAGCAATTCAGCTAGTGTATTTTTCACATTCCCATTGTTTTTATTTTAGAAACCAGCCGTGAATAACATTCTCTTGATTTATCAGTGCTTCCCTTGAACTCATATATGTCTGTCTAACTATACTGTTAGTCACAAACTTTTTATTCATAAGAAGGAGCTGTGAGAATTAAAAGAAGTGGATACGCAGGACTTAAAAGCAGTACATCATCTGGCTTTTTTGAAGCCTACATAGCAATAACAAAGCGGAAGTAAGTAAAGAAATAGAGCAGTCAAGAAGAAAGCATCAATACAATGCATCAGATACAAACTATTTAATAGCCCGGTGACCCTGAACACAATTCTCCAGTTGCAGAACTGGCTACGTACGAATGAACACCGGCTGAACAGATCCAATGAATTCTTCTTCTTCTGAAGTGAGAGATAGAGATGCAAAATAAAGAATAAGAAATGTAGCAAAATCCTTAAGACTTTCATAAACAAGAAATATATAATGTCCATTTGTAATGCTACCAGCAAAAGGAAAAAGTCTAATATATGAACTTGGTGTTCAAAGCAGGCCTTTTTAAAAAAAGGCATAAGCAACAGAGGTCCTTCAATTATAAAACTTAAAGCATTTGATTTTCAAAATATTGTCAAGTTATTGAGTGATAGCAAATTTAGATAACACCCTCTTTTGATTTTTAAAAAAAGTTTCTTATTCATTGGGAATAATAATTTTCTAAAGTATACATTGGATCAACATATATGAAATATAATATATAGGAGTGATTTGCAGGAAGCATGTCTATAAAATTAATTTAATAAATGTGGATTGAAAGCAGTGGTGGGGTTTAAATTTTTTTACTGCTGGTTCTGTGGGCATGCCTTGGCGGGCATGGCTTGGTGGGNAAGAAACAATGGATGGAAACTAACCAAGGAGAGAAGCAACCTAGAACTAGGAAGAATATTCCTGATAGTGAAAGCAATCAGCCAATGGAATAGCTTGCCTTCAGAAGTTGTGGATGCTCTATCACTGGAAGCTTTCAAAAAGAGACTGGAGAACCATTTGTCTGAAATGGCACAGGGTCTTCTGCTCAAGCAGAGGGTTGGACTAGAAGACCTCCGAAGTACCTTGCAAACTCTATTATTCTATCTTCTGTGTTTTCAAATTCCTAGCGTGTTAACTGCTCAACTTTGCCTTCCTCACTACATATTTACCACAGTAAATGCTAGTACAACATTAATTAATTAAATAATGTTTCATGTATAAAATAACGTTTGTATTTGTCAAATAAGAAAAACTGTGGCAGAAATAAATTTTGTAACTCTGCTGACTGGCTATCCTGGTATCTGGGCGCAGAACTTTAAAATTTGATGAAAGAACAAAAAGTGTGACTCTAAATACAAATTACCTGTAATTGTACACCATATTTTCAAATGTTTCCTTTGGTACATAATGATATTCCCGACCATTCTCTTCATAGCTCTTTTGAGCACGGGTTGTATCTGTTTTTAAAAAGGACAAATTGTGGCTATTGCAATACTTTTAAATAGTTACTGGAACATATTTTTAGTGTAAATCTCAGTGCTTAGTGTTATATTGGGCTGGTTATTTGGTATATACATCCATAAAAGTCATTCCTTTCCAGACAGTCCTCTTTTTGTAAAGTCAAAATCCATGAACCTTGATATGCATACCTGAGAAAGTTGTCCCCCAGAATCAGAGAATCTCCAGAAATTGCTCCAGATATGACCACAAACTTTTAAAAAAAGATAAAGCCGAATGTTCTTTTGAGCTCTGCTCCTTTTCAGCTAATGTATTTATTAAATTATGACTTTATGCCAAATCGGTGTTCAGATTTGTCCTGTTTTAAATGTAAGACAGTGAACCTTTTGTTGTGCTAGTAACTGATTCCACCCAAGCAATTCTTAAAAATATACTGGTTGTATTTGCTTCCTATTCTGAAAGCATAATGAGAAGTAATTACATCATGCTATTGGAGAATTGGTAGTATCAGTGGGAAAACTTCAAGACCATTAATTTCCTTTTATTTAGGTAGCAACCATAACTGTCTAATCTCATAGCCAGAAAGGTTTGACTTTAAGGCGTATTAAGAAACATATTTCACACAAAAATCTTATACTGCTTTAAACTGGTTGGAGGTATTGAGAACGATGGCATATGAAAGTGTCCTTGGGTTTCCAAATCTGTCTTAAAATGAGAGATACACCTTTCTGAATCCTCTCTTAATTTGGGGAAAAGTTAGTGGTAATTACAAATAATGAAAGGCTAATATGCAGAGCACAATTAGTGAAATTCTGATATTTTGTTTCCTTCCATTGGTATGTGTTAAGATTTAAAATCTACATACGTGGCACTGCATTTCGGAACAGGTGAGGATTAATACCAATAAGCTGTTTCCGTAGTTCATTCACTCCAACACCTGAAGGACCTAAGAATGAAAGAAACGATTGAATAAAAATGCACTGAATAAAAATTCTGTACCACTTAATCACATACAATAGAATACTGACTTTTTCCGTAGAAGAAACATAGGCAAGGAATACAAATCAAGGTCACCGAATTATGATCCAGTTGTACAAAGATGCGATATACTTGCATTTTTGTTAAAGTATCTGTACTATGATGAGATTATTTTTCTTTGAACTAATGCAAGTTTTCTCTCTTTTAGGCATTCTTTTTTTCCCCACCATAGTAATCACTTTTTCAACAAGGAACAGTTTAACTGCTGCTCCTTACCTATTAGTACAATTAATCTGTTTCGATCACCTGGCTGCCTTTGATATCTCACCACCTCTTCATAAGGTGCTGCCATAGCACTGTAGCAACTGTTGAGGCAATGTGTCCGACACGCCAGGTGACTGTAGTTGCATTTCCTACGGCACAGGCGCATACTTCTCCGGAACCCAGCTGAAAAATCGGAGACAGATACAGATTTTTAGAAACTGATCACTGAACCATAGGGCTACCCTGCTATATTTAAGGCGTTTCAGATATCCGCTTTCATGGTTCATTCCAAATTTTGGACTTTCCAATCCTCCCTAAAATTCTAAAATTCCCTTATTCCCTCCATTTGGTTAATAGCAAAGAATTATCTGGAAAAGACAAGGAACACATTGCCATGTTTGCTACTTTGGTAGCAAACATGCTACTTAAGTAGAATAAATTGGTGGCAGATTCAGGCAGCATCTTTTCGGTGCTATGAGTGGATTGCAAAATGTTAAGGTGTTAAATATTTTTATTGTTGGAAAGTAGCCGGATCTACTCGTGAGTTGTATTTTGCCATCAGTTGGGTTTTTCTGAATTAATAAACTTTTCTGCAGGGGAAGGTTTATATATGATCATTTAATCATGGAAATTTCCACTTGTTATGTTGTAAGTGGATGTTGTTGGAGTTTGTAGCTTATTTCAACTAGTGCCACGGAATTATACTTCTATGAAAACACAGAATCCCAACATCATAAAAATTGCATATTGCTAACAAATTGGCTTTTAGGAAGCACAGTTCAGAGGTGGGTTCCTACCAGTTCGCACCAGTTCGGTAGAACCGGTTCGTCAAATCTACCGAACCGGTTAGAAGAGGTTCCACCAGTGGACCCGGAAAGCAGGCCACACCTACAGAAGAGGTTCCAAAAATGTTTGAAACCCACCACTCACACAAACACACACACACACACACACACAGACAGACAGACAGACAGACAGACTCACACAGAGAGAGAAAGAGAAAGAAAGGAAGAAAGAA